TATGTGGTAGGTGAAATGTATCTATGTACTATGTTATTTAATTCCCACCACTGAGGGTTGGGTACCTCCCATTTGAGAGTTCAAGTCCTTAATCCCTAAGCCTTCCTCTGGCTTACTGTGTAGTTGGCATGGGGGTGAATGTGCATGAAAATGGGTACCTCATGGCCCAGGGGAACATCATGAGTAGCAAAGGCAGCACCACATTCTTAAAGCATTCCTACCCTCTCAGATGATTTCTAATATAATTCTATTGGGAAGCCCAACCCCATTCTTTCTCCCTCCCCAAACACCTGAGTTCCCTACTCTGATCAAGTCAGCTAATTTCAAGTACTCCTGAGTGCTGGAGTTGACACTGCTCACTACATCCTCTGAGAGCATTGCCCGCATAAATGTGTCTTAGGAGCGTTCTGTAACCTGAGGTGACATACTGTTCCACCTTGGGACTTCCCAGTTGTCTTAGATTAACCCTGGCTTTGAGACATGCCATTTCTTCTCAGCCTACAGCTTAGTTTTCCATGCCTGATTACTTTTCCTACCTTCCTTAGTCTTCAGGCTCCTGTTTCCCTTTGACTTCTGACCTAACTCTTGGTCTTCCCTTCCATTATGATGGGATCTTGTTTACATTTCCAGTCTTCCCTAGGCAACTAAAATGGATCCACAAAACATAAAGGAGAGAAATGTGCAAAAAGGAAAGCTTTCAATGTTACACACTGTGTTTTGAGAAGTATTTTTTATGAAATTCTTTTCTTCCCTGTTGTTTCCACTTCAGGCCATAAAATGTAAGGACCAAGGAACATGTCTACACTTCAACTCACCCATAAGATCAGATATCTTGAGAGACCTCAGATGATCTGATCTGTTTTCCTGCTGCTCTTGATTATTTTTGTTTGTTGTTTTCTTTTACTTTAAGTAAGTTAGTCTCTCAAAATTGACCATTAAAACGCTCTCCTCCACAGAGTATCCTTCTGCATTGACCTGTGTTTCCTATTCTGCTTTTCTGTGTAGATAAAATTCTAATGTCTTAGTGTATATAATTGAACTCCAAGTGGACTCAAATTAGCCCCCAAACCAAAAAGAAATTAGTGACAGTGAGCAGAACTCAAACTCTCCTAATTTTTGGAAGATTCCCTGAAAGAATGATGTCTTTACTGATCAGATCCTTCCCCGTTAATTTTTCATATTAATGCCAGTTGCCATGTTAAGTCCTTCAAGCAATGTGCTCTTTCTTCTAGAGTCTCATATGTAGTAAGCTCATAGAGCTTAACAAATAATCACTCTTTCAATAAAGTTATTTATTTAAAGTACTATGTGGTTATTACTTAAGTACATTTTACTTATGCAAATATGCAAGGAGATCCCTGTGGGTGTATGCTTCTATTTTGGAAATACATTCTTTCTAATAGTCAAGATGAAATAATGGAGTGAAAATGCTCTGTAATGATTCCATTTCCAAACTGGTTTTATGATAGTTTACTTTTCCAAAGCTTGCTCACAATAATCTTTCTAATGCAGTAAGATAAGATGATGGCATTCTCAAAGATTGTCTGAGACTTTAATAAAGAAGCATTAACTCTGTTTTCTGAGAATCTCTTGACCCACATTTATAATATTCCAGTATTCCAGCCAATAATATGAAAATTATAGTATGTATTTCAGAGCTGGTTTTGTCCAACATCATCACTGGAAAACTGAGAAATACGGGCTCAGGGCAATAAATTCACTGACTCAAAAATAACATACTTACTAAAAGAAATAAAATTAAAATCTAGGTCTTTTCAACCTGTAAAACATTATGAAGTTAAAAGCAACTTCCATAATTGCTAAAGTCTTCATAAATAAATATATTATTTTGTTAAATAAATACTATTGAGTGTTTAATTTTCTAGGTACTGGGGATACAAACCCATGCTTGACCAATGGAATATGGTGGAAATGGCATTATGTGATTTTATGGCCTGGTCTAAAAGGACAGGGAGCTTCTGCTTTGCCTGCTTTGAGCCAGGACTCCTGACCAACAGTGAAGAAAGTCCTACCACTACTGTGACACCTCCACTCTGTAAGAAGTTCAAACCACATGGGAAACCTTAAGTTGGAACTCTAGTTAACAGTCCCAGTTGAGTTCTCAGCAATAACCAGCATCAACTGCCACCCATGAGTGTAACATCTTTGAAAGTCAGTCTATGCTAGCCTTCATTTGACATCATTCCAGCCATTATCTGACACCGCATGAGAGATTTCAAGGGAACACCGCAAAGATAAACCCAGTTGCCTCACAGAACCATGAGAAATAATAATCAGTTGTCTGAAATCACTAACTTTGGAATCTTTTTTTGTGCAGCAAAAGGCAATCCGAAGAGTAGATAATGGAGAAATGATGGAAAAATATTAAAGGGAAGAGAGATGAAAATTTATATTTATAACCAAATATTTTGAGGAGGTAGGGTCATAGGATTAGATGGTAGAAAATAAAAACCCAGTCCTCCACTCTCACCACACAGGTGAGTTTATTTGGAGCTTGAGGACAGCTTCATGAAATCGAGTGAAGTTCCCCGTGTGAAAATGACAGTAACGTAGATTTAGAAGGGACTCATGGGGGAGGGGAGAATCAAACCTTTGACACATAACTCACGACCCATGACTGTTAATGTATCAGGTTGCAACTCTGATAGTCAGCTATTAAGAGAGCCCCGATGGTCCATGCCTCCCAGTAATCACAGTTGCACTATACAGCCTAGTGCACTGTAGAGTATAGGTTGTCTAATCTCACGATGAAGTGATTCCTGGGAGCTGCAACTGCCCAGTGTTGCAAGAGAATAACATACCTCTAGTCTAGGAAAATATCAAAATTCAAAATTTGAAATAAATTTTCCGTCTACAGCTACACCACCCTGAACTCACCCAAGCTCATCTGAATTAAGATTTCTACTGAATGCATATTGTTTTTGCACCATAGTAAAGTAAAAAAAAAATCCTGAACCAAGGACCATCTGTGTAAGAATAACTCACCTCTTCAGGATATTGAGTCTTCCTATAAACATAATAGATTTTTCTATATATTTAAGTCTCTTTTATAGTTTAAAACCTTTTATGAGACCTGGGCTATCTTTGTCAGATGTACTCCTAGATACTTTATATATTTTCTTTCTATCAAAAATCGTATCTTTCTCAAAAATACCTTTTCTAACTGTTGCTAGAGTATAAACATTCAACTGGGACTTATATAATGATCTTATCTTTCTCTTGTTTATCAAATTCATGCACTGATTCTAACAACAAATTTAAAGATTTTTCTGTTTGCTGTTGGTTTTTTTTGGAGACAGCATATTATATGCAAATAGAGACAAGATAATTGATTTTTTCCCTGTGTAATTATTTTTTTTTCTTGTTTAAGTGTAATTTCTATAGCATGGTACTGTTAAATAGAATCACGGAGGGTGGTTCCCTCCCTGGTTTTGAGGGAAGTATTTTCAGTATTTTACTTTTGAGTCTTTATAGATTTCTTTATTATGGTAAAGATAGTCCTGTCTATCCCTGCTTGCTAAGAATTTTTTTTTTTTTGGATGTTCAATCTTTTTTTATTTTATTTTTTTATTTATTTTGTGTGTGTGTGTATGTGTGTTTAATCTTTTATTTTTATATTTTATATCAATATTTTTATTTTGATATTGTGGGGTACAGTTAAGGGTTAGGTGTACAAATATGCTTCGTTCAGGCACCCTTGTTGATAAGGGGTGTCTCCCCATCCCCAGACAGATATTGACTGCCGTTAATCCCACCTCCCTTCCCCTCTCCCCCCATAGTTTCCCACCACTGTCAGTCCTTTTTTAAAAGTATTATGATGGATTTTCAAGGTTGGCTACATGAGTGAGAACATGTGATACTCAGATCTTTGTTTCTGTGAGAGGTCACTCAGTATTATTGACTCTAGTTCCATCCAGTTGCTGCAAAGTTCATGATTTTGTTCTTTTTTATGGCTGCGTAGTAAATCCATTGTGTATATGTACCACATTTTTTTAATCCAGTCCTCTTTTGATGGACAGTATG